GGGGGAGCAGAATTTTATTTTAGAAGATCTTGTTTTCTATTATTTATTGTTAGTTTTTCTTCAGTTAGAAGAAGGAGCATATTCTATCTTTAAGTAAGAGTTGTGATGAGCACTGGGTGCTGTATGAAAGTACTGAATCACACCTGAAACTAATATTACACTGTATCCTAACTGGAATTTAAATAAAAACTTAAAAAAAAAGAAATGTATGGGAATGGGCTTGTTCTTAACTCAATGAAACTACACTGTATAATTCATCTTTCAAGTACCATCTTCTGTCATTAAGATCTAAGCATTTGCAAACATATGTGTAGAAGCATATGGGAATAGCTGTAATGTGTATCTCACTGAAACCACATTGCATATAAACTGTTGTTCAAATCACATCTTCCTTCATTAAGATGTATGTTTGTGAAGTGTAGAAGTATATAGGAATAGCCCTGTGCTTACTTCATTGAAGTTTCACCATGTATAATGTGTCTTTCAAGTAACATCTTCTTTCATTAAGATATAATACACAACACACACATATATCACCCACACGTTATTTAAAAAAAAAAGAGGGAGTTTCTACAATTAATTATGATTTAAGTAAATTTTCTGGATTGTATGGGAATGGCTTGTTTTCACACAGTACCAACGGAAGTTAAACTTTATAATGATCTGGTTAACTAGAAAAATGTAGACAGCCCAGATAAATATGTCTTTAATAATTTATACTAATCAAATGAACCAAATCTCCTTTCCTTCTGGGGCTGTAAAGAAGGCCCGGAAATAACTTTCTACTGAGGGCATCTTCCTTCCAATCTATGACTGAGGGACGAGCCATGCCTGTGTGGGTTCAGGGGAGGTACAGCTTCTCTACGCTTCTCATGCACAACCTGAGTAAATGAATTAGCTCTTTCTGAACACTGTAATCATTTGAAAAAAACACACAGCACCATTGGTTTGGCAGGGACTGATTTAGGGTCTGTACTGTTGTTTCTTTATTCAAGTCCTTGTCCTGTGTCCTAGCTAGGTCCTGACTCTTGTCGTGTAGGTCTGATGTCTTGTGCCTCTCAACTGGCATGGAATAGAACAGAGGCTCAATGTCAGCCCATTACTATTGTCCAGGACAAAGCAAAAGACACAATTTAATGAGCAAATTGCTTCTGCCATCTTTTCAGTTTGGGAAATGGTTGGAATAGTTTGAAAGACGAATTCTTAAAAATCAAATAACAAATTAGTAACTACAAATTTTAATATATTTTTAAAAATTTTAGATGACCCTATTCATTTGAAAATCTAAAAGACTTAAAGTCAAGTACTAATATTAAATAAAATATCCTTTCAACTAGAGTAGGTTCATGAAGACTGTACAGATTAAAAGAGAGTAAGAAACTTTAAGAAAATAATACAACAGATGCACATGGCAGTTTGTGACATATTTAAAGTTTGTATATATTCTTCAAAAAGGGCTTAACGCCACTTTTTAAACCTTTAATTCACTCATTTTATGACAGCTTAAATTTTAAGGCCTGTATTATTTAACTCTGGATATTGAAGAAAATAGAAGGAAGTGCAAAACTAAATGTGAGTTAGTCTTGGGCAGAAGGGGTAGAACAGAAATGGCTCTCAACACGCAAGAAGCCATGAATCATTACGACCAAGCAGCCAGCACGCTAAGAATGTGCACCACCCTGACAATGTTCACTTCAGTCCAAAAGGACATCATGGCAACAGTTAAATATAAAAGATGCACTCTTCTCTTCACAGCGTAATTTGTTTTAAGTATCATCTTAATTTTCATTTAAGTATCAACTTAAGTATCATCATAAAAACAGATTCATGACCTAATGGATCTCACACTCCAGCTGGAGGAAAGTAAAAGCAATAAAGACAGTAAATAATCAAGCATATCAGAAAGTGATACATGCTTTAGAATAAACAAAAAGTATTATCCTAGTAAATCTACTCAGTATTAATCTAGTAGATCTACACAGTATTTTCTCTTAAATAGGAGTCGATATAAATTTTATGGAAATCTACATATGAACAGTTACTCTGTTTAATACGAGATCATATTTCATGTCCTCTGAAGCCACAAATAAGGTAATTCACTAACTGCATCAACTACAGAATAACATTATGTTTCGAACTTCAGAAATGTCCTTTCTTGGCTAATATAAACCACATTTTAGAACCAATATAAAGCTATTTGCAATCATCTTCTATGCATCTGAAAGTTATTTTTAACTCAAAAATTTTCAATTATACAATCAAAAAGATCACTATTATTGTAAAAAGTATGACACGTACGTATCATGTTTTATCATGTTATTTTTTTCATGCCATGTATCTTCTAAATCAATTTGGCAGAGTATTTGGGAAACAGTCTAGGAATTTAAAGGGAAAATGAAATCACATTAAGATGCAGTCTTAAAATAGCCTGAACTGTGGATTAGTATTTAATTGAGAGGCTTCTGACTATGCCACGATTTTGAAATAAAGCAGAACTTTTTAAACTTGCTTTTCCAGATATTTTAACCATGTGGCAAGTTTCATTTTGTTCCTGTCGCTGTATTTATCCATTATATTTTTAGGCAAATGGAACTGAAAACTTATCTTCACTGCATAAACAAAATCAAATAAATAAGCCTTCAGACATTACTAAATCCTGAAGGGCATTAGGGAAATTTGAGATCAGATCCTACATTTCGTAAGTGTGTTCAGAAAAACTAGGCCTCTCTGACAAAATATAAAGGTAAAGAGAAAAAAGCTTAAATGCAAATGTAGACGATGAGGATTCAGTAATTGGGGATGTTTTGGTTGAAGTTAAAAGAGTTTTTCTGAACTGGACTATTTTTACGAAATAGTGGTTTCTGGAAGTGTGTTAATCCCATTTATTAATTCAAAAGATAGTATCTACCACATGTTAGGCACTCTTCCAGATGCCTCAGAGACATTAATGAATAAAAGAGATTTATGACCTAATGGATCTTACATTTTCACTGGGGGGGAAAGTAAAAGCAATAAAGACAATAAATGAGCAAGTATATCAGAAAGGGATACACGCTATAGAATAAACAGAAAGTATTACCTTAGTAAATCCAGTCATTATTAGTCTAGATCTACATAGTATTTTCTCTTTAATAGGAATCTATATAAATTATATAAATTTTACTGTATTCTATTTCTAATCTAGGAAAGCTATGAAGTATGGTGAATACTATATAATATATGGTATATCTTCTATAAAAATTACTTTATCAGAAACTATAAAATCAGACTGGTAATTGTATCAAAGATAGAGGTTTTTATTACCCATAGAAAACAGCAGATAATTATTATTATTTTTAAAGATTTTTTTTTTTTTTTTACTTGAGAGAGAGAGAGTGCACAAGAACGGGGTGAGGGGCAAAGGGAGAAGCAGACTCCTCACCAAGCAGGGAGCCCAATGTGGGGCTCAATCCCAGGACCCTGGGATCATGACCTGAGCCGAAGGCAGACGCTTAACTGACTGAGTCACTCAGGCGCCCCAAAAACAGCAGACTAAAAATGACATTTACATGGTTTCCATATTAGGTCTGACCTGTGACAGATAATAAGCCAAGAGACAAAACACAAAACCATTCTAAGTCCACAGCTGACATGTAGGTTCATCCCTTGGGCATCCCTATAGTTCTTATTGGAAGAGTTTGGATAGAGCCCAGTTTTTAACATTAACTTTTACAAAACTACAAAACTAACAAAAATCTGTAGAGGCCACTGTCAGAGATACGTTTACCAAATTATGCAGAGCACCTAAATGATTATTCTTCAGTGAATTGAAGCTACATGCAGGCTTCCCAAATTATAACTCTCTTCTGGGTTTTAGGACACTGGACTGGCTTTCTGTAATAAGCCATTTACAGGGGTTGGGTAGATGACATCTGTTTCTGTGATACTGGTCACTAACATCAATTTGAAAGACCTCAGGAATCTAACTTCGTATATGATTTCATGATAACAAATAAACCCAACTCGTCATGTCTCAAATATGAATATCATTTCTCTGAATAATACAAAAGTCATTTTCCATTTTCCTGTGATCCTACTGCCATAAGAGAACTCATTATAGAGCTATTTCCAAACTCTAAAAATGGGTTTAATATACATGATATGTATATCGTGATATGATATCAGAGAAGTAGCCAAAAAAGGGTAAGAATTGTGGTGGCTGAAAATTAATTACAATAATTATCCAGTGAAAATGTAACCATTTTTTTTGATGACTTGGGTCGGTATCTACTACTGCAGCATCCTCAGGGATCCCCAGTCTAGCCCTGATACATAAAATATACACCAGGATGTGGTTGGGAAGATTGCTCAGAGACCAGACTGTAACCAACTGGATATAAACTCTTCAGTAACGGCATTCAAGGACAGAGTTTACACTGGGCCTCTACAGACACTATTAATAAAAATGGCGGGCAGTGTTAACCTGAGCCTAGATTCCCATATCTTGAATGAGAATACAAGAAAGAGAAAAACATTTTCCTGGGTATTTTCATGTGTATAGTTTGAGGGGTTGTGGTAAGGAGAGTGTAGTGCCTCCTGGATGAAGATCTGGGAGTGGTCTGTCCTCTGATTATATGAGCTAATTTAATAAAAACAATTTTTTTTTAATTTTCCCCAGTTTTTCATAGTATCTCCTCTCTTCTCCATTTATGTCAAGACCTGAAAAATGATTACTCATTAGGTGGCTAATAATCAGGTCATCTCTAGTCAGGCTTGCTAATGAGGCCCCCCCCAGTTTTTCATAGTATCTCCTCTCTTCTCCATTTATGTCAAGACCTGAAAAGTGATTACTCATTAGGTGGCTAATAATCAGGTCATCTCTAGTCAGGCTTGCTAATGAGGCCCCTCTTGGAGATGGCAGGAGTTTGGATGGTAGGAGGTATTAGGGGCAGATCCTCCGAGCGCAGTGAAGGAGACCCACACGTGGCGAGCTTGCGCACGCAGGCAGACGGCGAACTCACCTTGGCAAGCTCCAGTGCGGATGTTGGGGATAAAGCCCCGTCGGCAGGGCTGAGGCTGGGCAGGACACATCTCACAGGGGTGGCCCCAGGCCCGTCCCATGGTGGCACAGCACAGAGTCTTAGTGCAGACAATGCCTGTCAGCTGCCCTTGGCACATCTGGTTGTTGACCTGAGTGAAACAAGGGCCTGTCCTGTAATCTGGAATGTGAAAGAAGACGGAAAGACAGGTTTTATGACCATACACCAACCTTCCACCAGTAGCCCCAAACACATAAAACAGAGGCCATTTCTTCTGACTCAAGTGTCTAAAGACAAAAGGCTGGCAAGTTTCATTTCGAAAATTCCTCATTTTTCAATCATGAGGACTGCTTCAGGAGACTTCAAATGTATTTTACACCAGACGCTGTAAACGGGTGGCTCAAGGGCTGTGTCTGGGACACAGATGTGTTTTCTTGGCCTGAATAATGTTCTGAAAGAATTTAAATGAGTAGCCAACATTTTTAAATTGGGGAATTTCACATGAAATTTCTATTTCTGGCTTTTCTTGAAAAGTTGGAAGATCTGGCCATGCTAGGCCTGCCGTTCTACATGGCAGTGGGGGAGAGAAGTGTGTCCTTCTCTCTGACACCAAGCTGGCAGTCTCATCTCACTGCCATCCCTCACCTGCATACCATCAGCACCTGCTTGCAGGACTCTCTCTTTACCTAGCAAAGATTTTCCTTCCCAACCGGTGGACACGAGATCGGAATCAGAAGAGAACCAATAACGATATACCCTTCCATATCACAAATATATCTGAGCAGTCTAGTATGTCTATAAACACTAAGTTCTAACAATTTGATTTTTGTTTCTGTGTCAGTCTGTTTAGTTCCCTGTGTAGTTCATCCAGGAAGACTGTAGCAATAAGAGCCCCTGTCATGGATTCTTTCTAGGTAAGTTACTATTACTTAATCTCTATAAAAGACTGTACCATTTTCCAGCTCAGAAAAGCATCAGCAAATGCTAAATAGGCAGACTTCTGTGGATATTAAGGATGATCTACTGGGACTGTTGCATCTCAAACTGTGGTCCATGGACCAGTGATATATGCATCACCCGGGAGGTGGTTAGACATGCAGACTCAGGCTCCACCCTAGACTCACTGACCTAGAACTACATTTCGACAAAATATTCAGGAGATTCATACACACCTTCAAGATTAAGAAGGGCTGATCTAGACTCCAGGTAACTTAAAAGCTAGGCATTCTGACTCTAGTCCTCTTTCTCCTATAATTTACTTCAGTGAACCTTTTAGATGATCAGTATTTAACTCTTTTAAGCAGAACTGAATCATTAACAAAACAGTTTTTGAGTGTTGTTGCTGTTTTGAGAGTGGAAATCAGAGAAAGGTCAGTTTCATGAAAACTGACTAATGAAACAACTCACATTTGTTTTAAAATTACAACAGAAATATGTGAAAAGGGTTTTCCCCCCCCTTTCACAGAGACTGTATGAATACAGTTCATTAAGTCTTGGGACTGTAAGATGATAGTCAGGATTTCCTGATAAGCCCTCATGCAAATGACATAATTCCATTTGAAGGGGAAAACCAGAACAAGTTTATTTCAGATTTCCAAGAACAAAACAATCTCACATTCAAAGAAAGCAGAGTCAATAATGGTGGTAAGATTTTTATGAAATACGTACTGGGAAAAAGCAAACTTGGATAGGATTTAACATTCAAAATGCTAAGCTAGAAGAACTTTGATATAATCTAAATGCTATCATGTAACAAAAACACAACTTAAAACCACATAAAACTTTTATTTTTTTAAAAACAAAGAATAAGGCTTTCTCATATAGAGCAAAAGAATATTTTTAAAGTTTAACACACAGAAAAAAAAACTAAAATAGGTAACGTTTTTTGCAAGCTGGTTTAACACTCTGTTACTCTGCAGCTGAACTTCAACAAAAATAGCTCATTTTAATCCCTTACATAAGAACAACAGATGTGTTGGCTGCAAATCACATTTTTGAAAAAGACAATCTTTGCAGTATATGTGTAGATATGTCAACCTTATAAACAAGCATGCTTCCCACACCACAAACTGCCAGGTTGTAAATTTTTTAAACCTATCTATTGTCCTTCACACAACCATTATTTTGCTGTTTTAAACAAATATCAGACTCACAAATTAAATCAAGTTCTGAACAAGTGGGAAAAGTATTTTTCACAAAAAAATATAAACCATTTATCCTTCTGTAATTCTTGCGTACGTAGCTATGTTCACATTCTGCACACTTTCGGGATTCCCAGAGAGAAGCCTCCATACCCTCCCTCATAATCCTATCCTTAAGTAAACCAAATTGTCAGGAAATTTGTTCCTTCGGCTAACTACACTGCCTTCTTAAAATTATGTCCTCTCAGTCTGCTCTCTTTGGGGAAGGAGAATATCTGGACGAGGCTAGCTGTTTGTCCTCTGATGTGACCTTTCAGGTTGAAGGCTCTAATTAAGCCAACCCCAGACTTCTCCTCCTGGGAAAAGAGTTTACCTGTCCTTATTTCTTTTGCCTACACAGTATCTGCCTCCTTACAAACTGTGCTGAATCTATTTTCTTTTCTCATTATACTTGGCTTTCTGGTAGGCAACTGATTAGTTTAAAATGTAAAATTACGGCATTACCTACTTATTCAAGAATTACTATCTTGCAAAATACGAACAAATCAGTGAAAGGGGATGTAAATATCTTGATCAGATTAAAACATCCTGTCCCAAACTTGGCTAGCATTTTAATCATGGTCAAAGAGCCCTAAAAGGATTTCATGTTACTGCCCATGCATTCTTGTCATCAGGATTTCAGCGTGGGTAAAATATTATTGTATACCACACTACCCATTTGAAGTCAAGGACATCCTCAGAGCTTATTAGCAAAATATAAAAGGAAAGAACAGCTTATCACTTGGGTATGCTGGAGCCAGTAGTTTGGAAACAGGTATTTTCCTCATTACTATATGACCAAAAAATGTTAAAAATTAACCTGTGAAACACAAATACTTTTATTTTGATTTTCTAATATCGAAGTACAATATAGCATCTTTTCTTAAATTAGTTTCAGAGGTAGAGTTTAGTGATTCATTAGTTGCATATAACACCCAGTGCTCATTACATCACGTGCCCTCCTTAATGCCCATCACCCAGTTACCCCACCCCCCGCCCACCTCCCCTCCAGCAGCCCTCAGTTTGTTTCCTAGAGCTAAGTCTCTTATGGTTTTTGCCTCCCTCTCTGATTTAGTCTTATTTTATTTTTCCCTCCCTTTCCCTATGATCCTCCGTTTTGTTTCATAAATTCCACATATGAGTGAAATCATATGGTAATTGTCTTTCCTTGACTGATTTATTTCACTTAGCATAATACCCTCCAGTTCCATCCCTGTCCTTGCAAACGCTAAGTCAGAATGGCTAAAATTAACAAGTCAGGAAACGACAGATGTTGGCGAGGATGCAGAAAAAGGGGAACCCTCCTACACTGCTGGTGGGAATGCAAGCTGGTGCAGCCACTCTGGAAAATAGTAAGGAGATTCCTGAAAAAGTTAAAAATAGAGCTTATGACCCAGCAACTGCAGTACTAGGAACTTACCTAAAGGATACAAACATAGTGATGCAATATAACATCTTGTTTTGTACAGTTCCACTTTTATTCCCATTAAGCAGCTGGTGCAATGAGAAAACTCATCAAGAACTGGCGGCTTGCTGCCTTTTTTTTTTTTTTTCAAACAACTTCATTATGGTGTCATGAATATAACGTATATTCACCTGTCTTAAATGTACATGTAAATTTATTGAATTGTGCAGCCATCACCACAATCTAATTTTAGAATATTTGCATCAAACCCAAAGATTCCTTGTGCCAATTTCCAGCCTCAGTCAACCACTATTCTTTCTGTCACTATCGGTTTGGTTTTTCTGGACAATGCACACAAATGGAATCATATAATATGTGGTCTTTTCTGCCTGGCTTCTTTGACTTAGCATGATGTTCTTGAGGAACATCCATGCCATAGTATGGGTGAGTATTTCAATCCCTTTTACTGCTGACTAGCATTCCACTGTATGGATACACCACATCTGCTAACCAGTTAGTGGCCGTCTGCTGGGTTGTATGGTGAGTTTCTGTTTAACTTCTTCAGAAACTGCCAAATGGTTTTTCCAATGTAGCTTCACCATTTTGCATTCTTATCAGTAATGAATGAGGGTTCCAATTCCTCTGCATCCTCGCTAATATTTTCTTTTTTTATTATAGCCTATGTTACCATTCTACTTTAAATAAATATAATTGAATATATTTGGAAATTTTGATGTAATTTCACAAGTCCTCTTAAGATGCTAAACAGTGCTAGATAACCAAACTGAGCATTATTGTTGTACAAACAACCTGGTAACCTCTGAAGAGGTTTTCAGAAGGTAATAACAGAAACAGGTCTGGTGGAGGATGTGGAACTGAAGGAGAGGTCTTTTTTGTTGTTGTCATTTACTTATTTATTTTTTGCTTATTTTTTTTTATTTTATATGTTTTGCTTTGTTTTATGGAAGACGCACACCATTTCTAAAAGCCGATGGGAATGACCCAGTTGAAAGGGAGGGCTTATAAGTACCAAAAAGAGTAATAATTTCTAATATAAGATCCCTTAGGAGTCAGCCTGAGTGTGAAACCAGAATTTGTGAAGGAGTTATCCTTCGAAAGGAGAAGAAAAGCACTCTGTTGTAGCCTGAGAAAGAAGAGTATTTATAGAGTAGATGGACAGTGAGCAGTGTCCTCTCCCACACCTTCTATTTTCTTTGTGAAACAGGAGGTGAGGGTCAGCTGTGGAGTCAGATATTTGGGGCTGAGATGGCACTGCAGATCCCAGGCGAGGGAGCTGACATGAGAACCCAGTGGACTCCCAGGTGACATTCAGGGCTCTGTACGGCAGATGACCAGGATGGACTGGTAATGGGACCAATCCGCCTGCCTGAGGACTTTTCCCAGCATCCCTAGGCAGCTGAGAGGCTCACTCAGAGCTTGGGTTCATTAGGGTTAGGGTTTTCTCTCTCAGATGTGGAAAAAAAAATCAGAATGGCAAGGGAATTCAGAGGATTGTTACACAGCTTTTAAATTACAGACTATAGAATCTATGCCTGAGGAACAGGAAATGAGAAAAAGGAAGACTGATAAATTAA